AGTCTCTACAACCACATTATAGTGTGGTGATGTGTGCAGTATACACATTATACGCATGTGTGCGACGAAAACGCGTTTAACGACTTTTTATAGTTTTATTCTGACGAGTGGCGAATTCGTGTCTATGCGAATGTAGGCAACTTTTATAATAGTATGACTCAATTTTGAAGTATTTCTAGGTAACTATGGTGTTATGTCTATAATGCGCAGACTGAGTTGGCTATTTGGCATCATAACCAGTGGCTCAATTATTTTGCAGTTAAAAATGTATACAATTTTTAATATTCATACCAACCATACCTAAGAATTTAAAATGTAATACCTACAATATTCCTCATAAATAGGGAACGGATTTTATTGTAAATACATATTTTTATTGGAATAAGATATTTTAAATCTGATAAAAAATTAGTACGATTTAGATCATTCTTATTGAATACACATTGTTTTTACACAATTTAGATTTTTAGTTTTTTTTATATACATCAAGTATTTGTTTCATCAAAAAGCTTGGACATTCAATACAATGTTTCTCATACTTAATTATAGCTGTTTAAAAACTTAACATATTTATAAGCATTTGAAGTTGATAATTTGACAAAATCAGGAGAATTTGAAAATTATTTTGTTGTTGAAAATGATGTATCCTATGTATGTTCAATTTTTACAGCTAAGACTTGAACACGAATTAAGATATAATATAATATCCTAGATCATCGCTTGGATACTAAAATGCAACAGTCTGATAAGTGGATTTTTATTATTTTTTTTATGGATATTTAGTTTGAAATTTTGACAAAATTAGATATTTAAACAAAGAATACCAATTTTAGTTAGATTTTTGTCATTCAATAATATTCGTTGGACCTTGAAATTTTAATCTATGTTATTATATATTCTACTAACTATACACGTAATATAACATTTTTTAATTTTCAAAACATTTAAATTATTTTTAAACCTATTTATTATTTGTATCTCGACACTGCTCTACAGTAAGTCGGTATATTGACTCAAAAATTAGTAATAATTCTATATATATTATATCGGTATATTATGATGTACCTACCTAAATATATTCTATTTTAACAATTAACTAATTGCGATGTTTTCGCAAAAATTAATTCTACCGCATTACTATGTTTGTAAAATAAATTACTTTATTACTATGTTAGCAATATAAATATATCTTAAAATATACTTAGTAATGTAGATCGATAGACCTTCGTTCAGAATCGTTTTTCGTATGCAATGATTTGTCGCATTGAATTCAAATTGAATATATATATATTGCAGTATTATAGTATTACATTGACTCACTCAATGGCGAGAGTACACACTATTCTACAGGAAAGTGGTTACTTCCTCGTTTTTATTAATAAATAATATGGTACATTGGTGCTGATTTTCAGGTGTGTGGAGGGAATGTTATGGCTCGCGTCGAAAAAAGTATACATGTATATAATATATATATGTATACTATATGTCTACGTAAAATTTAGTATGTGATATAAAAGATCGGTTCCAGTCAGAATTTTATAATTAAATACAAAATTCGGAATTTCGGATGTGGTTTTTATTCGGTCAGTTTTTGTTTATCCGTTCGAATTTTGGTACTGCAATACAATCTTGCTTGCCCGTTTAAAAATCAGGCAGATCATTCATATTAAAATTTAAAGGAACAATAAACGAGTGTAGTACTATTAGTATTCTATTAGTACCTACTTAGTATGCAAAAACAGTATGAATCATAACTAGCCACTAGGCGTCTAGGCAGATACCTACCTAAGCAAAAAATAATATATTATGTTACACTACTAGATATGCCATAGTAACGGTTATAATATGGTTAAACACTCAAAACAATAACAATAGGTACGAGTAATTATTATCGAAAAATGTCAACGTTTTAAATGATACATTTTTATTTCTTCATTGTACAACCTATTGGGGAGTTTTTTTTTTAAATTTGCATTTTGAGTATCACTGCGTTTGAGTCGCGCATTATTTATATTCGCTAAACGGCCACGCGACGTCATTCACCAATTTAAACTACACTGCATGTAAATAAGCAATAAAACAACGGTGATTTCGAATATTTTATTCGGTTTTGATTACTTACTATAGTAATACCTATGGGAAATATTTATTTAGATATGACCACTGTACACAGCTGTACATTTTTTCACCTCCTGTTTACTGTAATATTACGATAATCATATTAGTCATTATGGCATTGCTTATTGGTTATTAATAAATTTTGTTTAAACAATTCTAAAAATAACGATAACGGTCTTTGATGCCGTGCAGCTAAATGTTAGGTGCTGTTTATGTTAAAGAAAGTAAAATATGGTTTCAAAAATAGAAACTTTAGAATTCGTGTTTGGCAACCATGTTCACAAAAAAGTTACCTATATCTCAAAGATTACAGGTAGATACAAGTATACAACTATCTGAATTCGTGACCATGGCCAACACGGCATGTACAAAATAATTCCTAGTTCCTAGAATATTTTTTACATGAATATTGAATAATATTATACTATTTGTTTTAATTTTTATCTATAGGTAAATTAATCTTATCGGTCAAAAAATTTAACACGAGGTTCCGCATAAGTTGTTCTTACTGGGATTAAAAGAAAACCGACTAAATCCTTATTACATTTTTATAAGCGTTTGAACTCGGAATTTGTCACATTTTGTAAAATATGTCAAAATATACCTATCCAATGACGTAGTATACTAGACTTTAAATATGGGAAAACCAAAGGAACAACTGATAATTGTGTACTAATATACCAAATACTATTAACCTAACCTAACCTTAATACAGTAATACACTAACACTTCTTATATAGAAATAAATTAACATAGGTAATTCATAGGCGTGCGCAGACTTGCACAAGAGATGCAGCATAGGTACAGAATAAAGCAGTCAAATTAAATTTTAAAATTATTAATTGTGTTATTTACGGGTAGATTGTAGTACTGATACAGTGGCTATAATAATATAATTCGTAATTTTAACTAATAGGTGCCTATTTGTTGTCAACTAGCTATAATTTCTAAAAACTAAAAAGTAAAGAAAAACATTTTAAAAATTGATTCAGATCCATTTTATCGTGAATCTTCTGCTGCACCCGTCCTCACGCCTATATGTTAAGCTCATACTATATACTAAATAATAATTATTACTCAGAATAATGCGTCACTTGTGTGACTGTAGTGTGTAGGTATACTGAAATTCCAAAATTATAATTATCGGTAAAAAATTGTCGGTGTTTCGGTTTGATGTTTGAGTACTAATGTTTTCTCCGTTGTTTACTATTATCAATATTTAGTTTGGAATATAAATTCCCAGAGACCTAAACAAATAAAATAATATTACGAAGTGTTTGTTCTTAAAAAGCACACAATATTGTGTTTTAAAAAAATAACCTTTGTCTGTTTATATTTTCATAATATGCTTGTACAAGAATCATGATGGGTTATTGGACTAAGATGTAATGGATTGAAATCTGTAGTACCTACTTATATCTACACTTTTTAGTGGACCTCAAATTGCGTTTTAGAAAAGAGTGGAGGGTTCTTGAAGGATACCTATACATAATTATCAACGATATTTATTATTTATATTTTATTTTGATCATTACACAATTACATAAATTAGTATTGTAATACTATTCCTATAGCCACTATTATACAAATACAATCGTTTTATAATCACAGCTATAAATTAGTAAAAATGTTTACTCATAACAAGTTGAAAACGCTCTAAAAATTTTAAAAAAATCCTCCAAAAAGTAAAATTTGTTCGAAAATGCAAACTAAAGGTGGGTAATTACTGTTCTGCCTTCTGCTGTATATAGTAGGTGTCGAGTGGGTCACTGCAATAATGGATGAGTTACGTGATATATCATTATGTATTCGAAAAACAATTTTGAGCGGAGACAACCAGTCAGCCTATATTACTCACAACTAACTACCATAAGTATATTTTATCATGTTAGTCATAGAATATATTTTATGTTATATTTATATTGCCATTAGTAATTTATATTTTATTTTACTATAAGTATTATGGCATAGGTAAGTTGATCTAAATTTTACCAAAATTATTGCATGTTTTAATGCATTATAATATTAATGTTTCATGTAATTGTCAAGTTATAATAGCTTATACTAAGAAACTCTAAAAAAAATGTATAATAATATTTAATTTTTTAGTTCCAGCAATAAAAACTTATGATTTAATGAGTTAAGAGAGTAACTGAGAGTTAATGAGTAGATTAAATAGTTGTTTACTCTACATTTATAACGTGAACATTTCTCAAGCATTTTTAAAAAAATGTATTTGAAAATTGAATTGTTTTATCTCGTGCCTAATTTTGAGTTCATATGTAATAATAAAAGAATACATTTTCATATATGATGTATTTGATCAAATGAATATTTAAGTCTCTAATTTTTTTTCTTACCTATTGATCTAAAGTCCGGCAACTATGGGCGAGAAAAGCATGAATAAATTGGTAGTAATTGTGGGAAAAATTGATGGAAAGTATTAAATTTAGTTTTGTTCTGTGGTATTAGGAATCTATCATAGATCATTTTGGTAAGGGCGGGAAAATTTTCCACCACAAAGGCCCCGAGTGGTGGCAACACTGATTCCTGTCGGACGGGAAGTAGTTTCGACCGCCGGTTGGCGATAGTGACGCGCGCAATTTGAACTCGTGCCTTGACCGCGCTGCTGAACGACCGCCGTAAAAACGCGTACACACGAATGCGTCCCACCGACACCACACCGTACCAGTACCACGACCACTTCCGTACCGGTACACACGACGACACCGGTTACCGAACACAGTCTCGCGGCACCCACCACCCCGCCGACGACAAACTGCAAACCCACCACCCCGCCGACGACAAACTGCAAACCATCCCCTCCACAGACTGCGCACCGAGCCGTCGGTACTACCCCTCCCCGCCCCGCATCGTGATATTCCGTGACGGGTTATCGTTATGCACGGGCGGCGTTGGGAGTTTATTTTTTCCATATTCGTTTCCTAACAATTATTGTTATTATCGCCTTCGCTCATCCGTTGCCGTTATCGAAATATGAACCGGAATCAATGCTGTCGGGTAAAAATAGTCTGGTTCGAAAAAACGGCCGTTCTCGTCATCGGTTAATCCAGCGGGAAATGTCTCGATATTATCCCGTCGAACGTCATCGTTATCATCTCGGCAATCGTCGTATTCATCGCATCGCCGATCGTTTGATCTGCGGCCGTTTAGCATTGCCGCCGACCGCCGCTAAATATTATATTACCGCGCGCCGACGACGTCCGTTACCACCACCACCGACGCCACCGCCGACACCATCGTCGTCGTCGCCACTGACGCGGCCGTAGACCGTAGTCACTGCTCACTAGTCGTAGACCGTGTCGCGACGTCGGTGCAGAGCTGTCCGTTCGCTCACCCGCAGTAGTGTGTTCCGTTGCGTGGCGGGAGAAGGGCTTGTGGGTACGTGCACATCGCGCGACATCAGGGCCGGTTGACGACAAGACGTGCTGAAAAATAAATTAACCGACTCGCCGCGCACAGATCATCACCATCGTCGCCGTGTCCAATATCACCATGACCACCACCACTAGTTTTCGGACGGTAAGTAGTGCTGCGGGCGACGTGGTGACATACGCAGGTCGACGCCACGTCGGACTTGACTATTTCGGTCGCCACCCCCTACCCCCTCCGTAGTGTAGTCGTTGTTGCGCTGATTATTTTGGGTATTTTTTGACAAAAAAGTTGTTTTCGATAATTATTGTCAAGTCTTTAAGGCCGCAGACGAGTAGGTATATACCACCGAAGGACATGACGATTCCGGAAGTCCTCGGTCGCGCGTCTCGCGAATCCTCCCGAGTAGAAATCTCGCAGAACTGCAAAAACTTGTCATTGCTGCCCAAACCGGAAGTCAGAAGACATCGGCTGTTAGTTGTTACTTGTTGGCAATGTCGCTACTTCACTCGATAAATTTTATTTAAACGATCTTGAGCATTTTCGTTTATTTTCATTTAAACGCATCTGTCCTATGGTAATTTATTCGTTTAAACCTAAAATCTAGTCCCAATTCTTTAGTTCTGGAAATACGATGTTCGGTTTGCTGACAAGCAACAATGTAGAATTCCTGATTTATTGTTGCTAACCTTCACCGTGAAACACTCAGCAAAGTTGGATAATTTGTAGTTAATTTTAACTTTTTGGCATCTGGCTTGTAGTTGTTCAGCACACCATAGAGTAACCCAATTTAACTGATAAAAGTGTTCCTTTTCACTTAGAAAGTTAATTTTTTTTCGCGAGATTAGTGTAGATGATAATAGACCCATCATACACTACATAAGTACATATGTATTCCCTAATTTTATAATGCCAATCATATTATTATTGTTGATGAAACTTATATTTTTATTAAAAACAATATTGATTATTATTATTTATTCTATAGAATATAGATTTGTCAACTAAATGTTATCATGTTTTGTTATTGTTTTCTTTGTGGCTTATCATAAACAACTAATCTTTTGACTTTGGAACATGATTGACAATTAATATCTAAGTGTAGGTTCAGGCACAATATTCATTATAATATGATATGTTTTTTCTTAAATACAATTTTATTATTTTAGTAAGAAAAATTCGAGGAAAAATTAGAACATATTTATATTATACCTTAAAATCATTATATACAATATATGTGCATATTATTCATTTGATATCTAGGTGTATTTTTAAGTGCCTAATTTTTTATTTTTTATCATTTTAAAAATCTAAGACTACCTACTAAGCTACCCAAATTTTATTCAAATACAATTTTATTCTAAAGACCATACCAATTCTTTAATCAAATGACTATCCTCTGTATCTTTTCCTCATAATATATCCCAGAGACCTATAGTGTTAAGCAAAGGGTAAACAAAAATTTGTTGTGTAACCTCCTTCTCATTTTCTTATTAAAATGTTGTGTAAATTGTAAATAAATTGTACCTAATAAAATTTAAATTAAAAAAGAAAATGTATGGTATTCTACAATAGGTACCTACCTACTTGAAACTTGTATTAAAAAAAATTACTTCTGTATCTATATCATTTTTTTTTATTGTTAGGTATTTAATTTGGTTACCATGAGAAGTGTTCAAAAGGCATCCCCTCCTATTACCAGCGGCAGATAGTTCCTTTTTTTGGTATAGTGAAAATGTTTAAAATTCTATGTACAAAATTTGTATAAATTTGATATCACCTGTAAAGCTATTCACATCTAAGACTAGGATTTATAAACGATAAAACAATTGTAAAATATGCATTATGCTTTGTATAAAACATTTTTTTTGAGATTTCTTTTTATTTCTACCTATCTATTAGGTATTTAATATTTTTAACATCAAAATCAGAAACTACTTATATTTTATATAGAATTATTATTTATTAATAGTACCTAGTTATTATTACAATGAATATTGCTATAATGATATCTTCTTTCAAATCTTGAAACTCGAATGGCCCGTGATTGGAACAATGAATGGATTTCTATTGATTAAAATTTGTAGTACTAGTGAAAAACAAAAGTAATGTGTAGGTAATCCTATCCGGGGTTTGATCAAGATAAGATTAGATAATACATTTATTACAGTATAAATAGCCCAAGCCCAATAACAAACAACAAGATTCCATAAATTGTCTAATAATCTGCTTAAAAAAAAATTATCAATAATATCCAGTAGGTAAGTAGGCAGTTGAAAATTAAAATAAATTAATATTTTTTTTTTGCATAATGTACAAAATATTTCAAGGAAATTAAGTAGAGTACCTAATACAATTTGTACTTGATTATTTTGTGTTTTTTTGTCTCAACTAATAGTACAATCATTGTAGATAAATTAAAGTGTATCTAAGCTCTATATTTATTTGTTAAAGCATTCTTAGTGTTGCCTATGTTTATTTGTACATACGTTTTACAAATGCTTTGTGCAAATACAGTCAAACTAATAATTTTTTCTTTTAGGCTAGAATTAATGTTTTATTCTATTTTTACAATTTTTATTCATATAATAATTTAATTGTTCTTGCATATTATGTTTGTTAAAAATAATGTGAGTAAAGCATATTTTTACGTTCATTGATTAGTTTTGCATATTTTTCTAATATTTTTTTGAGCATATTATATTTCACTTCTTTTAGAATAAAAATATGGACTTTTCTGGTAATAATTGGGAGCCAGGAGGTAACTACTTAATTATTGAAATTTAATTATTGATAAACATTAAATTTACAGTTTTATTTATTTATTAGATATTTAGATCTTTGAGGCCAGAATGTGTAATGTTGTTATCATTTATTAATGATACCTGCCTACAATTGCAGCCAAACTTAATAAATAAAAATAAAATGCTGTGTAGTACCTAGGCACAGTAGTATATACAGTTAATAAAATGGTTACCTACCTTCTTAAAACTAATAGTGTTATTTATTTTATTAATATATATTACAATGTTGTTTTATGCAATGGACAATTTTAGAATAATGAATCATATATTTTTATGTTATATTTGATGTTTAAATGTTTAATTTTAATTTGTCAGTATTTTATACCTAGAACATTTTAATATAATATTTAAGGTACCTAAATTAATTGTTTTAGTCAGATACCGTACTGTGTGCTCGTATTTTAAGTTCTCACAAATTAATTAAAATATTATATTTTATAAATATCTACCTACTTATATTATATTTTATAGTGTGTTTGTTGGTATAAAATATAAATTATAAATTCTCATATCCTTGTATTTTGTCCTTGAAACAAAATAATCATGGGTATAGCTGCTTAGAAAACTAAGTCATCAATATTGCAAGGGACTTTATGGCGACATCATATAGACATTATTTCAACCCTATTCTTTAGTGCATAAATTATTGTGGTTAAGTATAAATAATGATAATACCTACCTTCTTCAATCGATTTTAAAATGTCAGTTTTTGAATTGTAAATTGACTATTGCCTTATTTTAAAAACTATGTTGACAGGTATGGCAATATATTAAGTGTAATGGCTATATTAATAATAACTGTAGAACATTAATAGCTTTAAAGAATTTAATAATTCTATTAAGTGTGTAGTGCATAGAAATGTCTTTCTTTAAGTCTTTCATAATACAAAACAAAGTTTGTTTTTGAATTCTCTCTACAAATTTTATGTTGCTGTACTTCGGTAAAATATTTTGGTTCTAAGTAAGTTTCAACATATCTCTACCGTAATATTTATTAGTGACTTTCATTTTAGACAATTATGAGATCAAACACATTAGAGTAGATTCAATTAGATTACATTACCGTATTTACATTGGTAATGTTTATTGGTTGAATTATCCATTTATGCCTTTTAAATGTTCATTTAAATTGTCTAAATTTGCTTACATCAATTTACATATTGTATACTAAGATACATAGAACACGTGCTCTCGTGATATTAAGATAATATTATTCGTGTTATATCTTGGTTATAAATAATTTTATTCACGTTGATTTCTAGGACATACCTTTTGTCTATTGCTAATTAAATTCTGTTGGAGGAGGTGATACTCCCTCTACTTATATTATGGCCATCAATAATTTATATCCATGTCTATTTAATTAGAATTCTATAACATAGTTGATTTATCATAAAACTGTTTATTGTCATCAGGGTCATGCAATGATATTTTTTAATTGGTTAACGTGTGTCACAATGATATTTTTAACTGACGAATGCCTTTGAATAAGTTATTTTATAAATTATGTTTAATTTAAGTACCAAGTAGGTAATTTAGATGATTTTAATGTGTTATACAGTAATACCTAAGATTTGTGAATAAATTAAATTACCTACCTAATATTAATTTTGTTTGAAATTAATTGATATGAGAATGAGGTATTATAAACTAGATTTCTTTCTTCGTTTATTTATTTAACACATTACAGTGTTAAGATTGTAATATTTACAAAAATATTAAATACACTAACTAGGTAGTACTGCAGTTTACCAAAATACAGAGAATGTGTACAATGAATAAACTCAATATTTAATTTAAAAAATTTTATCTTTTAACCTTGTGATAAATTACTACTAACAGTAGTATGATTAAATTATTAAACTACTTATTACAGAGATCAATGAATAGCATATTTATATATCCACCGGTATGCAAATATAAAAATTAACCATTTATAGATACTAAATTCAATTTGAAATACCAATGGGAAAATATTTTAAGCAATTAAAAAAAAACTTTATAAAATCTATGGTAAGAGCATCTATAGAGTTAATACCTATCTAAATTAATTTTAAAAAAATGCATTTATGCTATATAGGTATTTATTATTTGCATGGAATATGCATTAGCTCATTGAACCAGAACATTATATTATTAAAAAAAAAGTATTAAAAAGTAGTCTGGCCATGTTAAAAGTATCAGTTGTTATGAATTAAATTAAGTAGGCTTAAAGAAGTTAGTTGGTGAAAGTAATTTAAAACTAGATATGGAACAGTAGTCATTCTGAAAATTATTCAATGACACTAACCATGACATAAATCATGCTCATGTACCATCACAAAACAGTACAAAAAATAATGATATAATCAGTATTAAATGGCATTGTTTATATTATTTTAATACTGGTTTCATATTCCTCAAAGAAAATACATTCCTGAAATGATTTTATTTTGATCTATTACCTAATAATTTAACCTTTTATTGTTTTTTGAAGAATAATATGTATAAAATATAGTGATATATTATTTACCAACAATCTTTCTCCATGCCTTTTTTTCTAAATTTTAATTTCTGCTTTTTTTTAGGTCCTAGATCAATAATACTTCTAATATAAATTCCTGAAGACTATTGAAGAATTAAAACTGAGTGATGTAAGTATAATAATTTGTTGCGGTACTAATGTAAAGTTAGTTGTTATGTCCTACCTAGTATTGAATTTCTTCGTGATTAAAAAAAATGAATAAATACCATTTTAGATTCTAGAAAACAAAGGAAATGCAATAGTTTTTTTTTTTCGATCACTGAAAATGTTTTGAATTTTAACTATGAGTGTGGTTTCTGGTAGCAAATACTAATTACTAGATCTAGTTGTTACTTTAGGTGAGTCTATAGTAGAAAAAAAATTTGAATTTTAACAAAACTGATTTAGTTTTTTTAATGACATTTTCAACAATAATTTTCAAAATATTTTGATTCTTTTTGTGCTATTTTAGTAAATATGCATGAACATTTATTACATGTTCCTTATAAGTTGATTACATTATGTAAAAATATCGAAACATTTGCTAGAATTTTTTTTGGAATGTTTAAAGTTGAAATATTTTACAAAATTTATCAAAATAATGAAAATTAACAAATTATTTTGTAGATAAAGTTTATAAAAAAAAATTTAAAAATTTAATACTAGATTTATATCTAATTTTTATAGCTATTAATGTTATTTTGATGTACTTATTTCAACAAATATTATTCGTCAGGACTTGAAATGTTTACTTGTTTTATTATATTTTACTATAGGTATATTATGATATTTTTAAAACATTATATTCATTTTAAGCCATTGCCTATTTATATCTCAAATATTAACCATTATAATAGTTAAATAAACCTACCATATTACTCATAACAAAATAAATATATAATAAAATGTATTTAGTAATATAGCCTATTGGCTAACAGTCCGTTTTCCACTCAGATTAAATTTTTATTTGTTGTGATGAGTTCAAATTTAATACATACACTACAGTGACCTCTTTGCAGCCACTAACTATACACCAGAACAAGTTCCCCAGTTTTTTAAAATTAATCATTGATTTTTATTTAAGGCATATTTTATGTATTTTTCCTAAATCAAATTTTTGGAGCATAAAGTGGTAGTATCAGCCCATTTAAATTAATGTTGCTTTTAACTTACTATAAATGATAATGTTTAACTATTAATTATTTTTATGCACATTACTTTGATTTTCTTTTCATTTGTTGTAAATGCTAAAATATTTTAATTGTGACTTAATTTTTACCTTAAATATTAATCATGTTGATTTTAAAATTTTATGTTTCAGAACAGTCAACAGTTTGAAGAAATGCCATGATAGGACGATTGTATTCTTTAATTTTATCGCTTGGCAGCCTTACATTAATCACATTTTGTTTGTGGTCAGTATGGAGCAAGATAGCCAATGTCGACGAGTCACATGTAGGCCATGTCGAATATCGTATACTTACAATAGAAAATGTTACTTCAAAACCATTCGAGTTACATTCTTTGGCCGAAACAGATCTTCACTCTTTGATCGATTTGCCATCTTTCAATTTCAATATAAACCAAAAGGTATGCAACAACAGCACTAAATTGATAATGGCTTTAGTTCATACTGCGCCTGGACATTATGCCAAACGTCAGGCTATAAGAGACACATGGGCAAAGATGATACCAACATTATTTTTTATGGGTCTCCCAGATTCAAACATAACTCAAAACAATGTTGTCTTAGAAAATCAATTGTACAGTGATATTGTCCAAGGCGACTTTATAGATTGTTACCGTAATTTAACTTATAAACATGTGATGGTACTGAAATGGACTTTGTACTATTGTCCTTGTGCCAGGTATTTGCTCAAAACTGATGATGATACTTTAGTTAATGCACCATATTTATTGGAAATACTCAATCATAGATTATCACCTTTAGGAGCTCGAAACTTGCTTATGTGCCAACTTATGTGGTCAAGTATGGTGAAACGTTCTTATCGATCTAAATGGAGAGTTTCATATTCAGAATATCCAAATCGTTGGTATCCAATTTATTGTAGAGGCTGGGCGATTGTGTATTCACCAGATGTTATTTATAAACTCTATACGGAAGCACAAGTGTCTCCATATTTTTGGATTGACGATGTTCACATAACTGGTACAATAGCTGATAAACAAAATATAACTCAAACAGATTTAGGAGATTTAGCAGTGGATGAATCCGATGTGCTGAACGATAAAAATATTAGTCGCAAGTTTTTATTTTGTTTACTAACTGAAGCAGATCAGTCAATGAGAAAATTTTGGAATACTCTATTACAACCAGATGATGCAGTTGTTTCATCTTCAACCAATCTTGGCTTGACGTAAATGTTGGTAATAAGTAATGACTAAACAAATATGAGTAATACATAATAATTTTTTAGAAGATTGAACAATGAATTGTGATAAAGTAGCCTGTAAACAAGTTATTTGTTATTATTTTATTTTTATTTTAGGAAGTTATATATGTAGGTATTTTTAAATAAGGCTGATATTAAAATTGAGAGTTATAAAACAATGTGTATGTATAAATTATAATATTATTTTATTTTAGATACTTAGGTACCTAATTATATAGTGTGAACTGTAAAGCGCTACAAACTATCTTTAAGGGGTGTTTAATATAAAAAGTTTCAAGTGATATATTTATAGACATGACGTATACTAATTACAATATACTTAGTATAATTTTCATTTATAATGATATACTAATTAATTACATACATATTAACTAACCATATAATTTGTAAAATGTACATATATAATTACTAATGTATTGTTATATCTTATTTAATTTTAATTATTAATATCCCTTGTTAAAACCATTTGTACCTATTAAATAATAAAAAAAAAATAGTATTGACAATATACAGATTCTGTTTACTTATAGCTTAAAAATAAGAAATTTAATTTGATTAAATATATTGATATTAATATTTGTGGAAAAAGTGCAAATAAAATATACATCATGAAATCATTGTTTCGAAAAAACACTGCAACGGGGTAAAACAGAAAATAGTAAGGTTTTCATGATTTCAAATTATTATGAGAATGTAGTTCAACTAACTTAAAACAATAATTTAGATTCTTCAACCCCCAATTTTCAAATTTTACCAATCAAATATTTATGTGTAATATAAATAAAATAGCCAATTGAATTTTATTAGTTTAATTTTAATCTTATGAAAGTTGGTGATTTCGGATAAATTATGTCCAAAGATAGGACAGTATTTCACCATTTCTCAAATGTGCCAATAGTTGGTACCCAATATTATTTTATTTAATTAATATTTTATTCCTATCCAAAAGTAATAAGTTTAAATCACTTGAAATATTTTAATATTTAACATCTCTATTAAGCTAAATAATGTAGGTAATCGTATTATTGATAGTTTTGTTTTTCAGTTACAAGCAAATAAAATGTATTTCATTTTGGTTATTAAATTGTTTGCATTCCAAGAAAATGTGTACCTCAAAGTAAATATTTTTGTTTTATAACATCTTATGTATGAACATTTTTCTGGCTTATGTTTTTTTTCCACGTTTAATCGTAAATCATAGTTCAAATGTTATTGATAAAATTATATCACAAATTATTTTAATAATTCTTGATATGATTTTTTATAATCCAATAAATAAAGTGATAAAACCAAGAGAACTAAATAATCGGCAGTGGTAGACTTCTTTAATTTTAGGAATGATCTTAACCATAACATTGACTTTAAAAAAAAAGTATTCTATGTTTAATATAATTTCTTTCAAATATTAAATCTGTTTTTAAATTAATTTTTTCTTGTTTTTATTTTTAAGTATGCCAATATAATTTGTAATACAGTCCGAAAAGCAAGGATTAAAGACTAATTATTACAATTATTGTTAACTCTGTCTAAAGCTTTAACTATTTTAACATAACTTTGGAGATAAATGTGCTATATATAGGATTATATGATTGTGAAACTTAAAATTGATATAAGATGGTTAAACAAATTGAACCTACTGATTATGCTTCTCCAATCTCCAATCTGCCACAAATTAGTTAGTTAACTTTAAATTGCTAAAATGTCATTATTGGGTTTCCTTAACTTGGAATAATATAAGGTATGATTAGTTAAGTTTTTGATATTGAAATAAATGTTTTATAAAATGTATACCCAGAACTTATTGATCATAATATGATATGTCCTTATATTATGATTTACAAACATTTATGTATAAATTAAACAAAACTAAATAAACCAGTAATTTCTACTGTGCTTAACTTTATATTAATAATTTGTATTAAATTATTTTTAATCCTTGCTTTTTGTTGCATACTTGTTCCTAATATAAGTATTAATTTTACAATTTAAATGTATTGTTGAGACTTATAATTATTATAACAAAGTATCTTAATAAATAAAAAATAAAAATATTTTAATGTTTGAAGTTGATGTCAAAAAAAGATCTCATGAGATGTACTTAAATTGAGTTGAATGTTTCAATGTAAGCTATGAATTGTTTTTTTGTTCTATTAAAACGTATACTCGTAATATTATTTTAAGATAATTAGTTCTCATAAATTTTACCATTTCACTTTTTTTTCTATTTTGATGGTTATTTAAAATTAACAATTTCACATGTTAAATAATCTATTAAAATAATTAATTCAGTTAAAAAACATTAAATTGGTGCGATTCAAGTTTTAAGTTATAACAACAAGGCATATCTAATTTAATAGTCGAAACTAGGATACTTTGTTTTCTTAATTTTAAATTCGAACACTAATTACTATTATCTTCAGTTAAAGTAAATTCTGAAGAATGTGTTTAAATATTCGTGTTAAAAACCAGAATTTTGTTGAAAATGGTTATTTTTTATTTAGCAAGATGCCTAATTTACTAAAATCTGTCATTGATAAAACATGTTTTTAATAAAAGTATGTACTTAAACTTTTGTTTTGTATATGTAATCAACCATTAAAAATTGTTAATGTTAAGAACATAATATTGTAATTAGTATATATCAAATACCAAAAATTGTTAATTATAATTTAAAAAAAATATATATATAATTTAGAATATTTTTATTAAATTGGTGCCAAATTTTAGAACTTAGTGTCAAAAAAATGTCAGTTATAATTTGTTGCTCAATTATCACAGTAATTATTATTTAAGTATTTACCTTAACTTTTATTTATAACAGTTATAAGTTACTTATTATTTGTTTCATACATTTTTTTGTTTTATTTATATTTCATAAAATATGTATTAGGGACCAATTTGTCTACTACCGACAGATGAAGAATCTGGTATACATAAATGAACAAGTGACTCGAAAGAGTTTAATAAAATTATATTTCAAATGTGTTGTTAAAGATACACAGATATAATATTAGGTGCTCTTCAAAAAAATCAATTTTTAAAAATATAAATTCAAAAAAAAAATGATGAAGTATGTTTGAAAACAAGTTAAAATTGAATTACATTAGTTGTATCGTGTTTATGTATTTTACTTGTGTACAATGTACCTATATTTGTTTGCAACACATTCCTTAAAATATATTTTAAATGCCTAATACATACTATGTTAGTAATAAAATACTGTTTATAATCACTGATAATACAAATTATTAATTGATTTGAGTTTTTGATTCTGGCATTTTTATTTAATGATTATTTTATTGAATATAAAGTTGTTATTATAATTTTTAAGAATCCTTGTTTTATTTGAAATAAAACGATTTTGATTTTGTTTGTTTGAAATAATTATTGAATTTGTTTGTAAACCTGTAATTATCTCTATAATCATCTTATTTCTATAAATCCTATACTATTCTTGATAGTCTAGGGGTAAAATTGGGTATCTAGTCTTAAATTCTGAATTTTAATCTCAATATTATAGAGGATGATTCACCAAGCATACCCCTACTTTTTCCCTTAATATGAGTATATTTTGAGTTATATGTGTAGCTTTTTGTACTTAGAATAGCAGATCAATGATAATGAATTAAAAATATATGAGGGGCCACGGTGACTTGATAATTTTAGTAATTAATATTAATTTATCAACATTTATAATTTGTAAAAATTATCCAAATGAGTTGTGTTGGTCTGGCCTAACCTAATCTACTGAGCAAACTGCCTGGAGGCCCTGGGATATTTTTAAATATTGGGAATTCATAGATTATATTTGTATTACAGATAAGTAATTATTAGTTAAAAATAAAATGGTTTTATTGCAATTTATTAAAAGTCTGTTGATTTTTTTTTAGTTTTCACGAGACATGTAGGCTTAATTTAAAGCCACACATATATTGTAAATATAGTAAATATCAGATTCAATATAACATAGTATATGAAGTATATACATCAAAATTATCCACCCGATAATTTACAGTAATAAAGGAGGTTCTGTTTGAAAAACGGAATTTAAGTTTGTAGAATTTGAAAATATAAGTACTTGTTTAAAAATTCAATAAATCAGAATTTAAATTAATTAGTTATTGAATGTATAAATGGGGATTAGCTTTACTATGCTGGGTGAATACATATTACCTACATACTCACTCTACATTACCTCTAGCGAGAGAAAGAAAGTTTACCTTAAGCCAAATTAACTTTTTAATAAGCTTTTGAAATATTCTCTGTCCAGAGAGAGAACTCGTCATGGATCGACTAAAATCGGTTTTTCTGCGCATCCCCACGCGACACCTTGTCATAGGGGAACATATTTCTAAAGCAGGGTGACGCTGGGGTATGCTCGGAATCGGCGCGTTCACTCTCTGGACAGAGTATAGGTACCTTTTTATTACGACGGCATTGGATAAATGAATGAAAAATGACAGTTTTAACTATTTTTTTGTAATTCTAAACATAGTTGTTACCTATAAATCGTAGGGCCTTGAAAATCTTTGCTATTAGCTACGTAGGTATATAAGTATATTATCATTATTTACACAATGACATTTTAAAATATTTTGACTAATATTTTAAGCATGTTACAGAACCTAAAATCTAAATGCACTCGTTGTCTTTTGGACTTTGGTAAATACATAGGTGCCTTCCTAATACGAATGGGTATGTAGTAATACGAATCATGACGTCCCTTGTCTATACATAATATGTGGCCGTAATGTTGTATGGGTCATATGGGTTATCAAATGGTGGAACGACCGGATGTACAATGTACTATATACGGCAGTACGGACGCTAACGTTTTTTACTATGACCTCAATGTTTGTGTAAATAAATTATTATAATACATGATAGTGGTATCTTTATATTTAGAAAAAACTTATTCTGTTTTTCTTGATAAATTGTTTTTGTTAATTTTTGATTTTTTTTTTAAACTAATATAGAAAGTATAAACATCGTTGGACTTTAAACTTTTTAGAATAAAATATTGTAATTTTGGTAAATAAATAAAGCCAATACTATTAATTAAATATAAATTTAAAAGAGATCATTAATTTGTATTTTGCTAGAGGCTAGTCGCTATATAGTGTCCTCAATCCTTAAGATAGTTATATTTATATAGAAGACTAGACGAGCAGAAAAAATGTAGCCTACCCACATTTTAATTACACATTAAAACCTAAGTTTTTTTTTATCGTTTTGGACTCTAGGCACGTTTGGGATGTTTTAAAACAGACTCCACAATGAAAAGTCATAGTAGAACACAAGACTTATGTACCATACCTAGGTTTGACGAGTGTTTATATTGTTTAAATAAATACGCGGTTTGCAGTAGTTCAAAATATAATATTATTTTCTTATGTATTTTTAATTGTTTGAATAATACGTGAAGAAATTTAACACAATATACAAATAATTTGATTGTAATATTATTTTACTTAGTGCTGCTATGTTTAGTCAGAGTCGTTTTTTTCGAAGTGTCCATTATGTGCAGCAGACCATGCGGAGTTTACAGAACACCTCACCTCCAAGGATGCTTGCAGAAATATAAATCAGGCCAAAGTTAAAAGTCAAGAACATAATATCATACTGAAGATTTTTTTTTACAAATTATGAAAAAATAAATATCGACCAAAATAATGGACGCATTTTCTCAGGTCGAAAAAACGTATTAGGTACCTTTATCCAGAAAAACCTGTTTTATATATATTTTACTCATAATATTATATGGTCATCACGCGTATAGGTAGGTACCTACTGATACAGTTAGTTAAAAAAATACAATCCCCACGGTTCGGAGGGGCTTTAATTAATTTATATTTAATATGTTATAAATGTGCATGCATATAACATATTACGGGTATCACCTTATCAATTTAATATCACCGACAGTACTTGAACTGCATGTGTAGGGAGCAGAGTACCTCTTTAACATGATACTTCAGCAATTCGGCGACTCAGCGTGCATACTGCATATAGGTACCGCTTATACTATAACCCTGTACCGCTTCTGTTTTGTTTTTTTGTAACGACGCTTTTTATAAATTCTTTTTTTATTTATTACTTTAGTTACTTTAGGTATACGCCTATACCAACTCCGCGTCGCATTATAATAAATACGAGTACTTGAGTTTAAATAAAAATCCATTGCGGTTTTGAAATCATTAAAATGCCAAATATATATAACATAGAAACATTAGGAACCCAATTGCAAGGTCTTTAGACCAGCAAATTAAACTCGAAATATGATTTCGTTAGTATACAATATAGTAGGTACCTATAATATTTTTTTAATTTCGTATGTGGTATGTCCAATAGGTATAGTATGAATGAATATACTAACATTTTTACATTTGGGCATACGAATTGACGGGTTATGAAGTAGCGTCAATAATAATTTTCTTTTTTTTCAGATCGATACTATAATATACCCTTTTTCACTTGCTGTCCACCTCGTCACGCCGTTCTGTAGTATATTATATACATATATAATAATGTAGGTATAGTCTCTCACTCTATTCGAATCGATTTTACCGTTTGATCTCATTAAAATTGTATGGACGAAAAGACGTAAACTTTAATTCCTACAACCACCCACTCTGGTTAAGTTTTTAAATATTTTAGACGTTCGAAGTCTGTAACGATAACTTTGCGTTTATACCCTATATATACTGTATAGGGTCACGCATCATGTCTATATTATATTACATATTTTTCGTACAACAATAATAATAACAAGATAAAAAAATTAATTACGTAGGTATGTTAATATAAAGTTATAAATATACTATTAATGTATACATTATTAATTACCTATAGATAGAGAGAACGGTTTTGTCGTCGTTCGATTACAATTAAGGATTTAGGATTAGTTTTTATTTTTTGTATAAAAGTACCTGTAAGCGGATCAATTTTCAGTCGGTCGTCACTCGTTTGCTATTTCGCCGCCGCGTCGTATAGAGTCGCCGCCGCGAGTCGTCCCTCTGAGTCAGACGCGGAAAGACCGCCGGGTGAGAACGGTTATATTTTATAGGTACCTACCACTAACACGGTTACACATCACTCGTAGCTGCAAAAATGCAAAATGCAGACTCGACCGAAGTCATCGACTTGGCCAATCACGTCGACACTTCCAGAACTGTGGACCAAAGACATCGCATAATCGGAGGTCAGTCGGGGTGTTTTATTTAAGTGGGTAGACTAATAGTTTTATTTGTCTAACGCGCATTTCGCTGATAACAGATGTGGCTGATTTATTCACTCATTTTAAACTATTTTTCTGTCGAAATTAATAAAAAAACATTTGAAACATTGATTGAACAACTTGAATGCCTATAGGTATAGATAATATTATTATAATTTCAGTTATGTCGGTATTGTAGTTGTATCTGCAAAATCAGCTGATAAGTGGAGCTTTTTGTTTTTTTATAATTGATATAGAGCCAATATCGGAAAATTGTGTAATTTATTTAATGCTCAAATACCTAAATAGTACAAATATTTAATATGTAAGTTTTGCTGAAAACAAAGTAATGAATCAATTCTCTATTGATAGGTGCGATAAGTGATAAATACATTCTGTTAGGTACTATATATGCTTGCAACTTATTACAAAGTACAGAAGTTGATAGTGTAAATTATGATCTGTACTTATTGATTTATTATATATATTTAGGTAGTAGGTACCTACATACTCGGTAATGAAAATCAATACGATTGCAATAGATTAATGGAGCAAATCAGTGTATCGTTTATATCTGTAATAGGTATTGACATGTAAAATATAAAACTAATGAAGTAATAAACAAGTTAGTTATTCATATACCTACATCTAAGAAGATACATATTTTTGATATTTTTTAGATACCTAATTAACTTTTTTTAAGAGTATTCAAAAAATTATTATTTTTTATTTACTGTTGTAGAATATAATATAGGTTCATATTTAAAAAAATACTTTTAAATATGTACATTTTAATAAAAATAAATGTATTATGTATGATTATGGTATAAATTTGTTCTTAAGTACAATATTTGATTTTTGTGTTGGTTTCAAATAGTTCATTGTTAATATATTATCTAAATACTAATATGAGATATAAAAATCATGATGTAGGTATACATAATTTTAAAAATATAAGTATATATCTTCTATCTACTATATCTGAAAATTACGATCTACCTACATATATCATCATGGCATCGTTATTTACTCCCGTGGCTATAGAGTATAAAATATAGATTATAGATAACATACTATACATTTTACAATATATTCACATAGGTATACTTATTAATTAATTACTGGTATTATTGTTTATAACCATAAAACTGTCTAAATTATACCAAATACTTATCAATGTATGATAATACATTTTAAAATAAATATACAAGGGAGGGAGGATGAACAGTACGGAATCAATAAATCCCCACTATCTTAAATCGTGGTAACTACCTACAAAAAATATTAATTATTATTGACGATCATCTGTTGGTGTTTAATGTCTGAAATTTGAGTAGATTGTAGATTGATCGTATTTCTAGTAGGTATAGCCGTATAGGTATAATAGTCGATTGATATTTACAAATTTACGATGAGAATGGATAGATAATATTTCTGGCGACACTACAAGGAAAAAAAAAGTAGATAATATCCCGTTTTGTGTTTGACCTCTAATAGTAATATGATCTGTTTTCGTTTTTGACATATCACCGAACCGCAAATTTAACAATAGTGACCTGTAGGTACTCCTGCAAATAATGGTGACCATATTTTTAGAACTGGACAAATAATTTTGGGTTAGCGCTAACAAAAAGACCGCCAAAAGATATTTTGGAGATAACAGTTTGTTATAACCTATTTAGACGAGGTTTGTTGTTGGAAAGGATTGTTGACGGTCAGGAGGGTTCATAATTAAAGACATGTCTCATACTCTCTTATGCGCATATCCCTGGCTATGTGATTCGTTGGCGTTCGGCGCTCATTTTACAAAAATTGTTTATAACTCCGGTCTCCGGTTAGGAGGTTTCTTACCTATTGGCTATTTTATTCGCGTAGATGTTTCTTCACATAACACACTGTATGGAAGAAATAGGAAATGGGATTTAAAAAAGGACGAATAATGTCTCGTTCTAAGTTTGTCGTGACGCAGACATGATGCTCTAAAAGGAAGAATCTTGTTTGCGGTAAGATGTTCAAACCGTGTACATATCCGATGTACTGCTACCCATATATTACATATAAATGGAAGGACATGTATTTTTTTTTATCGTGACTTGTGAGACAGTATTGAAATTGGAAACTTGATTTAAATTTACATTGCTGCTCCTTTTTAGTTTATATTGTTTATACCCTTCCTGAGTCCTGAAGTCCCGACTAAACTTTACCCACCTACATTTAAATGGAATCATAATTAAATTTTTACCTTCTTAATATTGACGGCGTCATAAATTTATTAAAATATGAAATTATTAACATGTTCGTATTTATACATTTTGTACATAGTATTACATTTATAACATAAATATTGCATGTTATTTATATTATTAATTTTATTAATAAGTCCGTATAAACGTAATAACTAGTCCGCTGTCGTGAAATGAGTGTACCCATGTATTGTATACAGTTTGTTTTTAATATAATTTTTTTTTCTATTCATACAATACCCTTCGTGATACAGGCCATTGGGTTCACAAATATTTTAAATCAATAACATATTAATATGTGTACTTATTCTAAATTCTAAGTATTAATATAATTTGTATTGCATTATTGCATGTATACCTGTATTCGGTTGAAGCAATGTGTCGACATACATATTATTATACTTATCATAATTATATCAATTATATAGGGACAATATTTCAATTTTTTGAAATCAATAAAAAAAGTTAAAGCTGACCGAGTTTTTCTATCTTTTAACAGTTTATACTATATAGGAACAATTTAAAAATTAAATTTTTAGTCAGATTAATTAAATTTCATGGGTACTCACTACTACTCAGTCACAATAGGTTTTATATTTCAAATGTTTTTTGGTCATAAGTATGTCAATGGACAATATGTACAAGGAATAACTTATTTAAATATTAGGTAAATAAATAATGAAACTTGTAACAGGTAGGTTAGTATAGGCGACACGCGACATATCGTGAGTCGTGACTCGTGACACATATATTATTGGTTGCAGTGTAAACGACATATTAATTAACACAGTGGTGCAACTAAGAGGGTTAGTGGTTGGTAATTCAAATAATCAATTTTCAAAGTGCTCAATACAATGTCATGGTATCTGAGTAACTGAAAAATATGATTGAAATATTTATACTGCTATAGTTATTATAATAGGTATCTGTAAGACACTATGACCACGGCTACATATAGCTAGTATATAGGTACGTTATTACCCATAACTGTTAATATAGCTTAGCTATCGTATGTCGGCTGTTAATTTATAACGATTTGATAAAAAAAAAAATTGAGTACGTCCCACACCTGCATTAAGTATATATTAAATTAAGTATGTTGCCTCCATCTTACTAGTACGTACATAGCAAATGCACATTCAGCTTTGTTAGTTTTAATATTAGAGTGAAATGTGAATATTGGCCTATTGTCAAATTTAAAAGTAAAAACAATATCTGTGTTCTCGCAGAAGTTATTCTTCATATTTTAATTTTAAAGCTACAGTTGTAACATTTTTAAACATAACATATGTATTTTGTGTTATTTTATTTTATTTTAAATTGTATAAGCTTATAACTTGCTTTTCGAAAAATCATCTGAGAGGATAATTAAGAGTTTCAAATTTATTACATGTGATCAGTTGTTAATCAGGCAGCCAGGTCCATAATAACTATCTCTTTATACAGGTATTAGGTATACACTATATTATTAGATTATTCAATAGGAAAGTCAGTAGCTCTAATTCGGAATTTAATGCAGATATTGCAGTGCATTTTTTTGACTAATGGCTTCCTTTTACCATGGTGTAAAGACATTTTATTTTTTATTTTTTAAAATTTGAAAATAGTTATTTTGTTGAGTGTTATATTTATTTATAACTAGCCGATCCCGTACACTGTATTGCCCGATAAAAATGTCCATTCTTTATGAGATTCGCTTGTGTTAATATTATCAGGTAGCCAATCCACCTGTGGTGCGTACTATATATGTTTTTTTTATTTCGATTATTGACCGATGAATGGCTATTAGTGCAACTCAGCTACCTCGGTAGGCAATGTGTGAACATTTGATTTGATGCATACTTACTATACCTTACTATACCTGATGATCTGCCAGATTGACAAATGGCAGCCAATAAACAAAAAATACTTATTAATTTTTACTAAATATATTTTATTTCTCTTATAACCAAAAACAACCATTTATGAACACAAATTTCCTTTATAAATCTCAAAACCCCTAACCTCCGGGTTGGATCTTACCGGGTCCATTGTCAATCTAAATCGGTCAGGAAGCCCCTTAAACAAACACTAACAATTTCATAAAAATCGGTCCAGCCGTTTAGGCAGGCATAAAGGACAAACAGACCAACACACAGACATTCATCTATATATATATGAAAAAAAGTTTGAAATCAGTTGAATGACACGATTTATATTTTCAATAAAAAAGCATAATGCTTATTGTAAAATTGTATAGGTATGATTTTAAAATGTTGATAACTATATTATAATGTTACTCCAATAGGTAATAAAGATCGCACTTCTCGATGAAATTGTATGAAACATTTTTTATTTGTTTTTATAATATTGTTCAAGATATTCTTATTGACACGTTAATTTTGTAACAAAGATCACGGGTCTATATAATTGACTTGTGTATTGCATTTCATGGTGGATAAAAACAAAAATATTACACCCAGTTCTACCGAGGAGTGTGTTGAGTGTTTTTTTTATTAACTGTTGGATTAGCATATTAGTTATCAAAGTGTGAAAACCATAAAATTTTAAAATATATTATGCTTTATTTTTAATAATATAAGTTGTTTTAATTAACTAAAATTCAACTAATAAAGTTTCTTTAAAAAAACAAAAACAATTATAATAAAATACCTGTTCTACAATCTGTATCATTTTTTTTAATTATTCACAATTGTGACATTTTTTCACTAAAATTAATAAAACCGTTTCACAATCTGAATT